TCAACCCAGATCTGCTCAATAAGGCCATTTAAAGCTTCACGCATCTTCTTAGCTCTAGCTCACGTGACTGGACCTCCTTGGGTGTGTAATGGATCACATGACGTAGTAGATATGCTATCGTCTTGATTCCCATCAATACCAAACACAGAATGGAAGTCCAAATTTGCATAATCACAATCTTGATGACAATGATGAAGATGCATTCAACAATGATGCCCAGAACTCAAATTTCAGCATGGACAGATTTATGAGAGGTAGAGGGGGTCAAAGATATAGCTTTAACAAAGGAGACCAAAATCTGGCAAGGTGGGGAGATTGGCAAGATCATGACTTAGGTAGAATCAAGATGAAGATTCCCTCGTCTCAAGGCAAGAATGATCCAGATGTGTATTTGGAGTGGGAAAAGAAGGTGGAATTGGTGTTTGATTGCCATAACTGTTCTGAGGAGAAAAAGGTGAAACTAGCAGCGGTGGAATTTACTGATTATGCTGTGTGGTGGGATCAGCTTGTGCTTAGGCGACATAGAAATCGAGAGCATCCTGTTGACACTTGGGAAGAGATGAAAGCTGTGATGCGAAAATGATTTATTCCTAGTCACTACTACCGTGATCTCTATCAACGATTGCAGGACCTTACTCAAGGGTCCAAAAGCGTTGAGGATTATCATAAAGAGATGGAAATCGCAATGGTTAGAGTGAATGTTGTGGAAGAGGACAGAGAAGCAACTATGGCACGGTTTCTGCATGGCTTAAATCCTGATATAGCTAATGTGGTGGAGCTGCAGCATTATGTGGAATTGGAAGATATGGTGCATATGGCGATGAAAGTACAACGGGAACTCAAGCGTAAAGGAGCCACCACCAGAACTGGGCAAAATTCAGGTTCCTCATCTTCTTGGAAACTGAATTGGAGCAAAAAGGAAGAAAATTCTGTTTTTAAGCCTAAAACTGCAGCATCTAAGTCAAAAGAAGTTGGCAGCAATGAGAAGAGTAAAACAGATAATACGCAAGCCAGAAACTGAGACATCAAGTGTTTTCGATGCTTGGGAAGGGGGCATGTTGCATCACAATGTCCTCATAAGCACACGATGATCTTGAGAGAAGATGGAGAAATTGAAACCGAGGGTGAATCTGATGATGAATCTATGCCACCATTAGAAGATGCTAATGATGGTGTGGAATATGCTGTTGATGGAGAACTGCTCGTCACCAGGCAAGCTTTGAATGTGCAAGCCAAAGAAGATGATGAAGTACAACGTGACAATATATTTCACACGAGGTGCCATGTCAAAAACAAGGAATGTAGTGTGATTATTGATGGTGGTAGTTGTACGAATGTAGCTAGCACTGTTTTAGTTGAAAAGCTTAATTTACCTATGATGAAGCATCCAAGGCCATATAAGCTGCAATGGTTAAACGATTGTGGAGAAATCAAGGTAAATAAGCAAGTTATGGTTTCATTCTTTATTGGACGATATAAGGATCAGGTACTTTGTGATGTGGTTCCTATGCATGCTGGACATTTACTTTTAGGGAGACCATGGCAATATGATAGGAGAGTAACACATGATGGCTTCAAAAATCGCTATTCATTTGTCATGGAGGGGAAAACAATTACTCTTGCACCATTGAGTCCAACCAAGGCAGGTTTATGAGGATCAACTGAGAGTAAAAAAAGAGAGTGAGCTTGAGGGTATGAAAAACAAAGAGAAAACAGCAGAAAAAGACTCCAAAAAAAGAGAAAAGATTGAAAGTGTTGAAAACAAACAGAGAAAATCAGTGAGTGTTTATGCAAAAGAAAGTGATGTCAAGGCTGCGTTCTTTGCAAAGCAGCCTATGTTTGTGCTTCTGTATAAAGATGCTTATTTTACTAACGAACTTAATGATTCTTTGCCTAGTGTTGTTAAATCTCTTTTGCAGGACTTCAAGGATGTGTTTCCAGATGACGTTCCTAATGGTTTACCACCAATAAGAGGAATCAAGCATCCAATTGACTTCATTCCTGGTGCAACAATTCCAAACCGACCAGCATATCGAAGCAATCCCAATGAGACGAAAGAACTTCAAAGGCAGATCGAAGAACTCATGAAAAAGTGACATGTGAGAGAAAGCATGAGTCCATGTGCAGTTCCAGTGCTACTTGTGCCTAAGAAGGATGGGACTTGGCATATGTGCGTTGATTGTCGCACAGTCAACAAAATCACTGTAAAGTATCATCACCCTATTCCTAGATTAGATGACATGTTAGATGAGTTGCATGGTTGCATATTCTCTAAAATTGATTTAAAGAGTGGATATCATCAGATTAGGATGAAGGAAGGAGATGAATGG